CCTCATATACTAATGATAATTGGATTAGATTTTTATCAAGCTGATCTACATTTTCTTTAATTCTATTAAGGAATGACGTCAAATATCTTGTGTGGCTTAAAGTCATGATTCATCAGAATCATAAATTACTTGAACTTATTCTTTCAGCAAGGTTTGTGGTATTTATGGTCACCTTTAGCTTGTATACCATGTAGAATAATTTTTTTTCTGATTTATTTTCTATGATTACCATATTGTAAGATTAATAAATCAGTTTTAAATTTGTGTTCAACTCATTTATAATCGTTGGTAAATGTAGGAGGACCAAAAATGTTAATGAATAATCATTTGGCTGGAATTTGAAAACAATTATAGATCTATAAATTCTCACTGTTGTCCTTACTTAATCTCGATAACAGAATTAGATAGATGAATGTGAGACCAAATATGGAAAGCTTATGGGTAGGAGGCCCCTATTATACACGTTGTTATTTCAATTCGAAAATGTTCCCCTGAAAGGAGTTAGAGGACCGGCACGACTCTATTACTAACAGGAAAGGTATGATGTACAGGGGCAAGACATTACTAATTTGAGGTGGAGAGCATATATTTTAAATAATATAAATTAAAAATTTCAGCCAGGCATTGAGACGTGGCAATAAATAATTGCTCGTTTTGATTTATTTTAACTTACAATTTGTTGCCACACATTTGTAATAAATGAACGTTTATTGTTATTATTATTTACTAATAATGAAAACAAAGATTTGTTTTTAAATGATTTTAATCTTTTCAAATTTGTACTCCTCAACCCCTACAAAGCTATCACAGTTGAATTTATATTCACAATACTTTCAATTAAAATCATACATTTTTTTTATTACAAAAAAAACTAAAAATAATTCTAAATAAAATGTATGGTTTCTTCTCTTTTGACAGAAGAGAAATTGTAAAATTTGATTATAAACAAACCAACATGAGCACAGTTTACATACACATTTTAGTAAAATGTGTATAAATAGTGTGTATATATATTTATATATACAATATAAATTTACATTGATTTACATGACAATTATATACATAATAAAAATATTGGATTAACCAGAAAAAAAAACAGTCCATAGAAAAAAAGAAAGGGAAAAATAGAAATATTTGGTACAAGTTTTGAAAGCAGATTTATCACAGTAGGAAAAATTTTAAACTAATATTTAAGATTTACTTAATTAATATGCTAATTGATCTATCTGAACAGCTGTTATAAGATTATTTATAACAAACTATTCTAAATACTATAAAACTAAATGATTTTTAAGACAGGAACATAAATATTTGTCAGATTTGACTAGAGGGGTTCAGAGACAGATATAAATTATATATGCAAATGTATAAGATGTATACATATATATATTATACTGTATATATGAATGATATGGATAATGTGCTTAATTAAATTTAAGCATAAATTAAGTAAATAAAAATTTTTCTTTTAAAACTATCGTTAATTTCAACTAAATCTGTTCTGGTATAAAATTTGTTACATTTACACAGACTAAATTATAATATAATTATATATTTTTTTTTGAGAAGTGAGACACAAACAATTGATTTAATCAACTTTATGAGTCATTTATAAAGGCTACTTTATAACAGACAGATGTGACGAATTATAGAAATGTTAACTGATAATAAGTTTGAAGATACATTGTACTCAAACTTATTATTAGGTAAAAAAAAAAAAGCTCAAATGTATCATTTTTATACATTTGAGCTTATTGGCACAATACATCACATCTTCTAGTTGAAAAAGTCTTGACAAATTATATGTAGTTTGCATAAAATATGTTCTAAACATTTAAAATCATTAGAGGTATGCAATTGATCATTAAATTTGCACACAGAATGGTTGCATGAATATGTATGTGTATATATATGTATATATATTTATATATATTTCCAAAACATGTTCAAAATTTTGAAATTTATAAAACTTTAATATGATTACGCAATCGTTTCTCATATCATTAACTTTAGTTCTTTCCTAAAACAGTCAATTAACTCAAGCAACATTTGAATATTGCTAATTTAACATGTGCCATATACATTTTTTAAAATTTGCATTGTGACATTTGAAACAATCAATACTAGTTAACTCAGCCGAGGATTTTTCTAACAGAGATTCCTCTCTTTGGAGTACATTCAAACATTTTGCTGAATATAATGGTTACCCATTTTTAATATTAAATGCTAATTAATCTTTGACAAAAATACTTTAAAATTTCATATATATTAGATAAAATAAAAACTATCTAAAATATTTTAAAATATAGCATTTTGCAATCCAAATTGACTTATGGTAGACATGTCAAGGTACGATGATGATAATTGGATTAATGTGGATTTTAAGTAGCGGATAGTGAAAAAGTAAATTGTCTGATACCTATTGCATTTATGTGTTTGTATATGTAATATATTTTCCAATGTTTTAAATTCCAGTATATGTACATAGAATATTGAAATTTTGTATTAGAAAAATATGCAAAACAAAATTCTTTCTTAGTGCACATCAAGCTATTTGTTTGATTTTATTTTATAAATCTGCAGTTTTAAGTTAGGACATATTAATAATATTTATAAAAATATTAGTGTAAAGAGTGTTGAAATGAAATTGTAACATTTGCAAATTCCTGATTGGATTTCTCATTCTGTACTATAAAACTGTGCATGTGCATATTTCAGTAATTTTTTTCTGTGCAAATAATAAAAATAATCATCTATCTAGGAAACCTTAATACTGGATGCAGAAAATAGCACAACAGGAGAGAGAAAGGAAAAGCAATATTATGTGCTAATTTTAACAGTGTCTGTTTAATAATCCTGGCTTTTCACATATTCTCTAACATATTATTCTTATACATTAGAAAAAAGTAGCAAATTTTTTAAGTAATAGTTGCTATGATCACTTGGTTTTAGATTCAAACTATATACAGTACTAGTTGCACCAATAAATTGTTTTGTGTCTCAAAATATAATTCTCAAATTCTGGATATCAAAACGTTGAAAAATTATTTTGTCAACAGTTTGAAGGATCAGTATATCATTGAATAAATATTACTGGTGTGATAACATATATTATTTTTCCTATTCCAAAAGTATATAACTACTGTCAGAGGTATCTACTATGAAACAGGAACAAAAATTTGTTGACTATCAATTGTTTAAACCCGGATAGGAATGTCATCTCATGCTGACATTTGCATTGTTAGAATCTAGGATGGGAATGGGATCTCTCTCTGCAGCTATATCTTGAAGGAGTAGAAATCTTTTCAAATGCAATGGAAACTGCAGTTTATTCACTTTAAAAGCTAGGTTTTCTCCCAGTTTCCGCCTTATGACAATCCGGCAGATATCAACGAGGTTCATTGGATTGCCTTTCATGTAAATTAGCCAACCTTTTATACTGTGAATGGTATAATTGTGGGGAAATGGAGAAGGAAGGATTTCGAGCCAAGGAGTTCTATGAAGATAAAATCCTGCATAGACCAGTAATTTAACTGTATGAAAATGATTCTTTCGTCGTGCTAAGCACAGATTGTCAATATTGCATGAATATAAGTTACCCATATTTACATCGCTACCATTTCGAATCAGTTCTTCGGCAAATATAAATTTGTCCAACAAAATAGCACGATATAATGGTGTATCACCAGGCGTGAAGCTCTCAACATTTAATTTGCAGCCACGCTGTATTAAGATATGAAGAATATTGCAGAAAACATCAAAACTCTGTTCCTGAATGCCTTCTACAGCTTCATGAACAAGTGTCTGTCCTGAGAGTCCATTACAAAGACTTATATTCCCACCTATAAAAAAAATACATAAATTATTAAACATCTAAAATTTTATATAACTAAATATTTTGTAGTACTGATGTAGACTAATTTTATAAATAATAAAATATTCAGACTAACTAACTTCAATAATTAAAATTAGTCTTGCTAAGCTGTAATATATGTGATTTTTAGATAATCATTTAGATAATCATAAAACAAATAATATTCAAATATGTACATGCATATTTTTCTTTAAATACATATAATGAAAATTTTACAAAATATGTTAGATTTCTAAACTGAAAAACTTTCAAAGATGTTGATAATACTTTAATGGCATTCAAAGATTTAAGCTTTAAGATTACTTAAAAAACATATTTGCATAGCTAGCTACAAACGATGTTTTCTTATTGTACATTGCTAATTAAATCTTGTAAAGTTTTAAATAGCATATAACAATAACCATTTTCTCTGGTATGAGAAAATGTTATAACTAAAGTGAATGATGTCTAAAATCTCAAAGTCAATTAAGTAAAGTGTATTCAAAATTACCTCTGTAATAATTACTTTAAAAATTATAAACTATAGTCCAAATTAAGTCTAAGATTCTGATTGTATATTATATGAATACTAGCTACATATCTACGGTTTTGTCCAGAGACATATTCTCATATTAAAAATTTCAATATATTAGAAAACTACCTCATAAACTACTACTCTGAAATTAACTGATTACCAAAAGTAATCACAGTTACTTTCAGAGAGTTAGTTTTACACTGACTACAAGGGTAAACACATATTTCCTCATGGTTTTAAGTAAAACAGATAGTGAGTTAATTCTCAAAATAATTAATTGCTTTTGTTACTTTGCAATAAAATGATGGACTTTGTACTGTACATTCAAAAAATCATATTCATCATGGTATGCTATTTCATTTTCATTCAGGATTTAATACAACCATGGCAACAAAGAATTTATAAGTATTGCAGGTCAACAAATGTCAAACATTAGTAGCAAAAATTTGCTGCTGGTGATTATAATCTATCTGACAGGCCTCAAAGTGAATAATGTTGAATTGTATAATGATGCTTTAAAATCTTTAGTGGACACTCAATCTCACTGAACTGATATCAAGTGTACAGAAATTATCTGAGAAAATTAGGTCATGTAGACTTGATTCAACTGTGACAAACTGTGTAACTAACATGGTCAACTGTGAAAGAAATCAGTAAAGTGTGTAAACAAATTGTATGGATTCCATCATCAATTATCAAATGCATATAAAAATTAGTGGCATACAATTTGTATTTCATTGCTCATTAAATTACACAGCCATCTAATTCTGACCAGAATTGTCATTGCAGGTGAAAAATGGAACATTTATCAGAATATTAAATATTCCAGTTAATGGCTTTCTTCAAACCAGAAACAACTCATAAATCAAGATTAATCTGTAAAAAAACTGTTATTGGATATTTGGTGGGTTTGTAGTGGTATAGTTCATTTTGAATTGTTTAAACCCTGAGAAACAGTTACCACTAAGTTGTACTGTCAACAATTATAACAGTTTTATTCAGAATTATTTAAAAAAAAAAAAAAAAGCGAGAGACCAGCCTTGTTCAACAGAAAAGATATAATCATTCAATACGACAATGCACAATTCCATACAAACCTATAGAGGAAAAAATTAAGGAGTTCAAATGGAAAGCTCTACTGTCTCTGCCAGATTTATTGGACATTGCTCCATCTATATCTTTAGAACAAATAAAATACACTTTGATATTTTTTGTGTCATAGCCAACAGTTTTATACAAAAAAGGGAATTGAAAGTTTGTAGTAAAGATAGAATACTGTCATTAATAATGATTAAGATTATATACTTGATTAGGAAATAAAAATTGTGTTTTAATATTTAAATGTGACAATCCAAAACCCTTTTGTTTTGTAGTAGTCTAATAAACTTCGTGATTAGGTAAAAAGGGAAAAAGAGGGACTTCTGCGGTCAATGACCGAGATGATCTCCTCGAAAAAAAAATCGTTAGTATATCAATAAACGAAATCTCCTCCATTTGTTTAAAGGTAATTCTATAGACGTTAATATCAACAAGATGGGAATAAGAGATGTTTTTACCCTCTCTCTGGTTGCACGTGACACGTGGTTACGGCAATAAATCACCTCCTTCGTAGTCAAACGCGACGTTTGATATAAACAATATCTAGATAGTTGACCAGGTTAAAGAAATTATTGTCAGATGAATGTTAATTTATGGATGAGAGCTGTCAAACCTATAGAAATTTATATTATAAAATCATATCTTCTAGACACTGATAGCAATAAATAAAACAAACTTCTCTGTGTCAATTGTCAGTACAAGCTAGATCTAGACATCAACACACGAACAGGTGTGCGTATAAATCATGAATGATGTCATAGTTCTCACCCCCTCAAAAATAGTATAAAGAGGGTTTGGACACAGTCCACAGGGCAGCCATCCCCAAAAGGAGGACATTCACAAGGCGGACATTCACAAGAGGGACATTCACAAGGCGGACATCGACTGCCACATCTACTGACCAATACCGCCATACTGCTGTGATGATCCAGGAACGTTTTTACCAATGACCCATATTACGGATCGGGAACTTAGAGGTATTTGTTTTTGGATATCTATTTGTATACTCTCTCTCTCTGCGAAATCTCTCTCTGCGAATTCGCTCTTCTAGAGATCTCTCTCTCGTCTCTTAACTTAGAGAATAGAGATTAGATGTTTCATATGAAAGACGAATCATTGTCGCGACATAGAATAGAATTTT